AGTGCTAGGATTATAGGTATGAGCCACCACGCCCGGCCTGTTTCTTTCTACATAGTATTTTCATAAACCATTTAAAAGGAGGTTGCATACATCATAGTCCTTTATTCCAAATTGTCCCGAATTTGGCCAGTGGGAACTCCTTCAAGCTGATTTCTGTGTCTTTGTGTCATGCACCATTAAATGTTTGAGTTCCTCCTTAAATTCTGCCACAGAAATGATGCTTATGGCTCACCTTGTACCAAACCTCCCCAGTGCTGAAATCAGCCATTTCTCCAAGGACTCCTGCTTCCTTTTAGTACGGAATGGTATTAAAGATCAAGACTGGGCACTAGGTATGACCACTGCTACTTGGGTGTCTTTGCTTATAGGCCCTTTTTGTGAATAAGATTGGGAAATACACACACACATAAACACACACACACACGCAAATATACATCTATATGCATACACATATACACGCACATTTATACTTGCATGCACACAAGTACACATATACATATTTTAGAAATCTTGAGTCCATATCGATACCTCTAATTTAATCCATTTCATAGGGTCCATCTTGCCTTCCCTCTTTCATTATTTGCATATTCCTTCTTCCCCATTGAGAACTCTGGCTCTAAACAATATCACATTCACTCACTTGCTCAATCTTTTAACACACCTAAAATAAGTGTAGAATTGCTTTGCCCATAGCTCTGCAAAAACAGGTCAACTGAAAGAGTTCTGGACTGGTTTGCTGTTCTACTCCAACCCCAACCAAGACTGAGGAATACTTATGGTCCAATACTATCTTTATAAATTACTTGGATTAGTTGGCTGCCCTTTTTTTCTTCTTCAGGGTGGTTATGCTATTATTATAATTTCTGATACTGTTAAGATCATTTATTTAATTTGCTTTCAGTTTTTATTCCCCCTTCCCATTCTTGTTGATTTAATTTTATTTTTCTGATCACATAGAACATGTTTCCAAAAGTCAACGCGGTACAAAAAGTTACAGAGAAGTGTTAACTCCATCCTGTATTCCTTCTGCCTCTGGAGGGAACTCACTTTGTTGTTTTCTGTGTAACCTTTCTGAGATTCTTTTTGGACAGATAAGTAGATTTACATACATTTTTTTATTTCCTCCTTCTTACACAAAAGGCAGCATACTAACTATACATTTTTGCATTTTGTTTTTTTCACTTAAGAATGTCTCTTGGAAATCACTACATATCAGTTTGTAGTGATTTCTCTCTGACTCTGTCTCTCTCTCTCTTTAATAGTTGCAAACTGCTCCATTGTAAGTATTTATCACAGTTTATTTAACCAATCACCTACCCTCGAACAGTTAGATAGTTTCCAATATTTTGCAACTGCAAATAATGCTGCAGTGAATATCCTTGTGCAAATGTATTCTTTTGTACTGTTGGAGTTGTATCTTCAGGGTAAATGCCCACAGTGACATTGGTAGGTCAAATGTAAAAGCAAATGAGGTTTGTTGGATATTGCCATATTCCTTTCCATAGGGGTTATACCGTTTTGCATTCTCACAGCAATGTATGACATATATGTTTCCCTCACATTCTTGCTGACAGTTGCAATCATAAACTTTTGAATTTTTGCCAACCTAATGGGTGAGAAATTGTGTCTCAATGTGGTTTTAATCTGCCGTTCTCTTATTATGAATGAAAATGAACATTTTTTCATATGTTTAAGGTCCATTTTTAGACCTTTCCTTTTTTGTGAATTATCTGTGGATGTCTTTTATCCATTTTTTTCCTATAGGATTAAAGAATTTTAAAGTTGTTATTTGGCAGAAGCAGCCTTTGCTACAATTTCCATTAACTGAAGGCAGAACACTAGAGTACCTGCTGTGGGTAAGCTATAGATTCTATCCTCCAGAAACTCATAGACTATAAGCTGAACACTGTCACAGTGGGGATGAGCATAAACTCTGCTTTCAAATGCCAATCTTGCCACCTAGGCAAGTTATTTTACCTCTCAGTGCCTCTGTTTCTCCATTTTTAAGATGATCATAGAAATAGCACTTACCTCTTAGGATTGTTGTAAGTATTAAATGACTTGGCATATGTAAAGTACTTTGAACAGTGCCTGGAACAGTAAACATTCCACAAACGGTAGCTGTTTACAGTCAAGAAAATGCTCTCAATACATTTGATTTGATCCCATAAGAATCCTGTTACATTGTTGTAAAAAATGAGGAAGTGGAGGTTTAGAAACATTAAGTGAGTAGTGGTAGAATCAGAATTATAAGCCATGCATCCATCCATTCATTCATTCAATCACTGTTCATTCCACAGGTATTTACTGAGGCTCTGCTATGTACCAGGCCCTGGTCTAGGTGCTGGAGATGTACCCTGGGCAAGACAGATCTTTGAGCTCTTGAGCTCTTGGAGCTCATTTTCTTGTGGTGGAGAAGTCTGTGTGGGGTGTAGAAAGAGACAAAACACAGGGAAACCCATTTTGTCTTGTTCATTTACTTGTCTCTTCTCAAGTCACAACAGAGTCAAGATTCATTTGTTAAATGGAAGAATGAAGGAATGAATGACCAAGTGGTCAAAATGAGGCTCAATACATTGGCAGAGCCTAAATTATGAAAGGCCTTGTCAAGAATTTGAAAGAATTTGGATTCATCCTGAGCAGAAAAATCAACAGGATCAGATTTGCATGTAAGAAAACTCAAGCCAATGTCTGTGAGGAGGACCCACAGGAGAAGGGTGGACAGCCGGCGGGTTGTTAAGTCTAATGGGAGATGAAGAGGGGCTGAGTCAAGGAGGCAGAGGGAATGAAGAGGAGGTGAGCCGGGGAGAGATTTAGAAGTCAGAGTTGATTTCACATGGTATTTTCTGGGTGTAAAGAGGAAGGAAGAGAAGTCTGGAGTAACACCGAGGTTTCACTGTGATAAGAGATTGAAGAGGATTGCTAACTGGGGAAAATGGAGGAAGGCTTTTTAAACATACAGATTTGAGGTGACTGTGGGACCAACACTCATTCCTTGACTGTGCTTGCATTTGGTTTCTCTACACTCCTGGAGTCAGGAGCTGTGTGCTCCTGTTCAGGCGACTGCAGTAGTAGCATATGAGATAAACAGTGTATAATAGTAGAAAGGACACCAGTAGGAGGCCAGTTGGCCAGTGGTGCAACCATGGGAATTACCTTAACTCTCTGGGGGTTGGGGGGTGGGTGTCCCTGATGAGAGATGGTCAGTACTAAGTTAACTGCTAATTCTAAATGGAAGTTTAGTCTTTGAAGGCAAAAATAACCATCTTTGCATGTTCTCTCATGCCCAAGATACCTTGCATAAAGCAGACTGTGGACAGTATTAAAGAGATGTCACATAGGGAGATTATGAAAGGAAATCCATTATCAAGTAGCTTGTTAGAGTGCCCCAGGGACATTGAACCAAGATTCAGGGAGTTAGAAAGTCCAGAAGGGTCTCCAAAGACAGAAAACAGGTGAGTAAGCAAACAACCCCCAAACAGCCCAACAAAACCCCCTCTAAAACGGTACTCAGCGAGTTTCAATGACACCAATGCTTTTCTAGAGATCATGCAGGATGAAAGGCTGTGAATTTTAGACTTGTAAGAAGACCTGTATAAAACAGCCATCTGGACACCTGAATATCTCTCTTTGCTTGGGAAAAGGGATTTCTAACGCAGTGGATGACGTGATGAAAATCCAAGAGAATAGGGACCATGTTTCACAGACGCCTTCACAGCCTGGTATTTTAAAAAGCGATCTGAACTTTCTACAGGATGTCACTGGATACCCACAAGAAGGTCCATCATGGTTAGGAAAGGACCGAAGTCATTTTCTGATTAGATTGCTTTTTGGCTTGCTCCTGCAAGGTGCTAGGAGCAGGAGAACAAGGGCAAGCACAGTTAAGAAGATAGGGGGAGGGTCTCGTAAGTAGGTGGGGAGCTGATGCAAACACACCTTAGAACGGTGCCGGGGAAAGCAACAGTAAGGACTCGAGCAAGGGAAGAAAAGATCTAGAGGAAAAGCAGGGCACACGCAACAGCTTGGGGGGTGGGTAGGGAGAGAGGCGGGGAATAGCTGTGGAGGAGGCGGGGATAAAAAGGAGGGAGGGAAAGGGGTGCGAAAGCAACCTCACGTGCAGGGCGCACGCATCAACAATTAGAGATGTAAAGAGAACTGGGTAGCTGAATTGGGAAGGAGGGACTCAGTCCTCTGGAGATCTCTTCTGCGTTTACCCAGTCCAGCCCCGCGCTAAGGGGGTGTGGTACTGACAGCTGGGAGGTGGGGATGTGAGACGGCGGCGGCCAGGGCGTCCCCCTCTCCCGCCCCGCTCCTCCCAGAAGTGTAGGGCCGGGAACACCGAGCGCCGGCAGGCAGGGCGGAGGCGGGGCGAGGTAGCCGATAGGCGGGGCCGGGCACGGAGGCTCAGCCTGAGGGCGGCGCTAGGACCCGCCGGCCGCCCCGCCGGCTCCCGGGAGGTTGATAAAGCGGCGGCGGCGTTTGACGTCAGTGGGGAGTTAATTTTAAATCGGTACAAGATGGCGGAGGGGGACGAGGCAGCGCGAAGGCAGCGGCTGCGGCGCCGGCGGCGGACCAGCGACTCAAGCGCAGGGGTTAACCACGTCTCGTCCACGACTTCCCTAGGTACTGGCCGGCGGGGCAGAGGCCGCAGGGTTCTGGTGGCGAGAGGGCACGGGCTGCTCGGGCTCGCGGGCACTGGCCGCAGGCGGCAGGGTCGGCGTCCTCGGCTGGCTCAGGTCTCCTCCCGCCGCCGCGTCTGCCCGGCGGGCCTAGCCTCAGCCGCGCCCCGTGCTCGCGCCGCCGGCGGCCTGAAAGGGCGGTCCGCGGGCTGCAGCTGTTGGGTGAACGGGCGGCGCGTGCGTCTGCGCCCTGCCCGGCCCCCTGCTCGCTTGCCCGCCGCGTGGCTGCCGCGGTGTCCGCCCCGACCTGAGGGGGCAGCCTTGAGCCGGGGCCGCAGGCCGGGGGCGCGGGGAGGTCGGCGAAGGCGCAGCTGGGTTTCGGCGAGCTCCTGACGCGGCGGGGCGTCTCTTCTGGCGGGCACAAGCTGCGCTCTGTCCCTTGCGCGGTCAGGGAGGAAGGGGCGTGATGGGCCTCGCGAAGGAAGAGGACGCGGAGGGAGCGGACACCTCGCTGCCAGGTTGGAAAGCTCTTCAGACACCCTTGCTGGAGGGAACCGCAGTCGGCAGGCCAGCGCGGTGCCCCCGGGCTCGTGTTCCGGGGCTCCTCGGCCCCTGATTCGCGCGGGTTGCGCGTGGCCAGAGTTGCAAGCCCCCAGATTTAGGTGTCAAACTGGGATTATGAGTCGTTTACTAGTCACTCAGACGGGAGTAAGGCCCGTTCAGACTGAAAGTGTCTGTGAAGTCACCTGATCCTTCGCTCCCCTATTTCGCTGAATGTGAGCTCCTACTGTACGTGTACAAGGAGCGCCCCTGCCCCCTCGAAGACACAGTTGTGTTGGCAGCACAGTGTTGTGTATCTCTCTCACTCATAACACCCCTATTTATAGGAGTTTAGCATTAGATCTTTCACTGTGGTGCGAATTGAACACATGAAATCCTGATTGAGAATTTTGATGATACTTAAAAAGGCATAAAGTTTTTTCAAAGGCTTATAAATAGTAAAAGCCTACGGTTAGGTAAGTACGGCCAAGATAAACTTATTAAGTACACTAAATATGAGCTCGTGTTTTCAGATTTCTCTTTTCACAATCTGATAAGGGTTTTGCTGGATGAAATTTTAAACATATGGTAAAATATTAACCACAAGGACTCACTTTTAATAGAGAAGTTTATTTGAAATAGACTTCATCAATTATGGTAGTTCTTGGCATATGTCAGAGGTGATGACAAACTAGAGTTTTGCTAAGGGAGAATGAAAAGGAAATAAAGCTTACTTTATTGCCTGCCAACTAAAGCAATTGACAGAACTGTTTACAGTGGTAGCACCTATAGAATGAAGTACTACCAGAGAAGAGACGCTTTGCCCTAGGTCTCTGTTGGTTGGATTTCTCAGTAATTAGTTGCTTTGGAATGCGGATGGAATTTAGCTCTTTTGGACCGTAGGGGAGGAGGTGTGTGCTTTTTCTAAGTCAACCGTTTAAGATGTAGTTTTAAAGTGTTTTATGTACTTGCCTTATTAGAAGAAGCATAAATTTGTAAGTCATTCATGATTATGAAGATAGTATGCTGTGGAACATTGAGAAGAGATGAGGCCCTTGAGACTGTTGATAAATAGGGCCCACCATTAATTAATTAAATGCGCTTGTATGCTACTCATAGGTTTTTGTCCCTTTTTTGGGGGGCAGAGGAGTAGGGGGAAAGACCTTCACTTGATAGCCAATCCTAGCAAATGGCTGCTTAAAACAGCCCTTGTACTTGCTAATTTGCTCTGAGTCACCCAATACTGCATTAAAAACCAAATAAAGTTGGTAGGATTTGTGTTTAAAGAAAGAACAAACAGGCTGTGAATGAATAGGGAGGGACTCATCTATTTTTGACTGTGTAGAAACTCTTTGTCTCCCTCTGCTTTCTGGAGAAGTAAACTAAACTAGTAAAGCTGAGTTAGGGTGAGTCAGGTGTCACTCTGCTAGTTTAGTTTTAGATTTTTTAAAAATGTAGGATCTTTATAAAATAAATAAGCACTCATTTTATTAACTTTGTAGGTTGATAGGCTTCTGTAGATGTGATTACATCTACTCAGTAAAGTGTTTTGAAATTATTTGTTTAGGGAGAAGGAGCTGCCTTACGGTAAAGAGATAGGGACAATAAACCATGAGTGAAAATGAGATTCTGACCTTAAGTCTCATGCACATAGATGTATTTTGGGATTCTTTTTTTGCGATTGTATTGTAACTTTAGGATAAAGTTTTAGAGTATTCATAAGTATAAGTTAACTTTCCTGAAGTTGTTAAACCTTTTCCAAAATTGTGCTTTTTGCGCAGTTGTTATTAGGCAGCTGCTAAGAGTACCTGGAAGGCTGATTGTCAACTAGTTTAATGATGCTGGAGTTCAAGATACATTCTTTAAATTGTGGGACTTAGTATAGCAAGATGCATTTAAAAAATTGTTTGTCTCAGTTAGAAGACCTGTTTGACACATACAATTGTAAGCAAAGCTGTTTGGCAGGGTCTTAAAGTTAGGAGCCAGAAATGTAAGGGATAGGAGTAGAAATTAAAAGTTTTTTTGGTAATGGTGGTTTACAGCTTTAAAGAACAAAGGTTTTCTCCAGGGTGGGTGCAAAGAAACAGCATTCTTCTTTTTTTTTTTCCTTCTTTTTAAAAAAGTGTAATGGTATTCTGATGTTGTAGCCATTTTGAGTTTTCAAAGTTCAGGTGTATTATTTACTTTCTAGAAAATTTGGGCATAATTTACCTTAAGGATGATACATGTGAACATAGAATAACTGAACTTGATCTCACTACGAATTCATTACTCACGTTAATTTTCTTCCTATCTTTTGCTTTTCTTTACCATCCATGGTACAGAAGAACAACTCAGGATTTTCTCTATAGCTTTCAAAAAGGATAGCTGGAAGAAAACACCCACCCGAAAATATGATGGCAGTAGGATAATATTTGGTACTCAATAAAGAACTTTAAACATCTTGTTTTGATTTTATTTCTTAAAACCTTTCTGTGAGGGAATTAAGTTATTCCCGTTGGAGGAAGTGTGTTCTGTCCACAGTCACATAAACTTCTGAGGCATTTTTACTGTTCTTCACCAGACTTGGTGAAGAGGAGGGTAGGGGCCCTTCTTCATTGGAAATTATCACATATAATTAGAGATGAGCGGGTGAAACTTTGTTGACTAAATGAAATTTGAAATCATACTGATGAGGGAAGGAGAAGATGGGGCAATTGTAAAGATAAGGCAGGTCACTAAATGGAGTGGGAAATTTTGAAGTAGGAAAGGAATAGGTAGCTATTATGGAAAGAAGAGGAACAATTAGTGAAGGAAGTAAAGCAATTCCGTTTTGGACATTGAGAAGCATGCAGTATTTAGAAGTGAAAAACCAAAATAACTATTTTACAAATGATTTTTCAAGTTTTTGGTAAACATATCTCTATGTGCTTGGGTGTCTGTACATATCGTTAAACTTGAATAATTTTGTAAAAATATGTATATTTAAGTAGCCACCTTCATTACCTACGCTGGGACAAATGAATATACAGTAATCGGTTTTATGGTTAGATGATAGCTGCTAGAAACAACTTTTAAGGTTATAAAAGACTAATTTAACATCCTTTATTTTCCCAAGAAGATAATTTGCACTTTTGACTGACTTTGGATTTGGTCTTCTGGCCAGTACAAGCAGAATCCAGGGGATACCAGTTTGATAAAAATTGTTATTAATAATACAGCTTGTATTTCTATGATTGGCACCAAAATAACCAGTTAGTGGCTGGCTGGATATCCTGCTAGCCAGTTACTCTAATAACTTGTTGGAGAAATATGTAACCGATGAAAGATGCTTATCTAGGATCTTTAGTACATTTCATCTTTTGTTGCAAAGTTCTCTGCTTATGTCGGCAATATTTCTTGAATCATAGAGAAGCAAGGCAGTGTAGTGGAAAAAGGAGGAATCAAAAGCTGAGTGACTTCACTTACACTCTCTGAGCCTTGATCTCATATACAGTAGTGATAATAATCCCAGAACAAGACTGTTGTGGGACAACAAATGAGTGATAGGGTACAAGTGTTATGTAACATTTTAGAGTTTGTAAAGCTGTATGTAAGATAGTAACAAATAGGTAAGAATGTGCCAATTTGATTACTTGTGCTATTATATGTAGTGTGTTTATTTGCAATCAAAAGTTAGGATTTTTTCCCTGTATTATGGACAGAGGTTTAGTTTGGGCAAGGGTGGTAGACAAAGTTTGAACTTTATCTGTAAAATGCTGATAATATGTTCATGATAGGATTATTGCGAGTATTAAATGTGCTTAACTCAGTGCCAAATGTTCTGTTGGAGGTGCTTACTACTATAATGTATGGTTGTTTAAGATGAGACTTTGAACTAAAAATGAATTTTTAAAGTAGATGACTTGAAAGGCCTTTATACAGTTTTTTAAAATAACATATAAATATTTATTTTTTATTTTGGAGACCGAGTCTCACTCTGTTGCCCGGGCTAGAGTGCCGTGGCGTCAGCCTAACTCACAGCAACCTCAATCTCCTGGGCTCAAGTGATCCTCCTGCCTCAGCCTCCCAGGTAGCTGGGACTACAGGCATGTGCTACCATGCCCGGCTTATTTTTTCTATATATTTTTAGTTGTCCAGCTAATTTCTTTCTATTTTTAGTAGAGATGGGGTCTCACTCTTGCTCAGGCTGGTCTCGAACTCCTGAGCTCAAACTATCCACCCATCTCGGCCTCCCAGAGTGCTAGGATTACAGGCGTGAGCCACTGCGCCCGGGCTAAATATTCTTTTTAGTTAGCTTCATTTCAATAAATATGCATTTTAGAGAATCACTCATGTGGTGAAGTAGTTTTCTGGAATTATTTCAATGACAGGATTCAGTATGAATCCTTAATTTCTTAGTTAAAGGTTACGGCAGTTTCCAAGTACAGTCGTCCATCAGCATCCATGGGAGATTGGTTTTAGGACCTCGCTCGGACACCAAAATCTGAGGATGCTCAAGTCCCTGATATAAAGTGGTGTAGTATTTACATACATACAACCTTCCGTATACTTTAGATCATCTCTAGATTACTTATAATACCTAATACAATGTAAATGCTATGTAAATAGTTGTTATACTGTATTGTTTAGGGAATGATGACAAGAAAAAAAGTCTGTATATGTTCAGTACAGATGCAATTTTTTTTCTCCAAATATTTTCTGTCCTAGGTTGATTGAATCCATGGGTGTGGAACTCATAGGTTGGGAGGGCTGACTGCATTGGCTTTTCAAACAGTAAATCTGCAAAATCTAACTTGGGTGTGTTATGCATAGGAATGCCTAAAAAAATGATTGACTTGAAATCACACTAATAGTGAATCCTATAAAAATTTTTTTTCCCCTTCATTTGATCCTTTATATTAGAGTCATGGATAGTGATTAGAACTATATCCTTAAAATTTTAACTAAAGACTTTTTTTTTTTTTGGAGACAAAGTCTTGCTCTGTTTCCTGGGATA